GTCTACTAAAATCCGCATTATTATCTTCTGACAATCCTTGAAGGCCACAGCAGCCGTGCTATTTTCCAACAGGAGAACGCTGTCATTCACACCTCTCATTTTTACAAAACTCAGGGTTGCTGTCCGATCATATATTCCAACGGTCGATTGGTCAGACGATAGTCGTGTTTTAACATCTGCTGTCAGTGTTTGGAATGAAGTGAGTTAACTGGAGTATCGAGAAGAACGGTGGAATTCAATCGTCCACATGATCTTCTCAACAGGGATGTTACTTCTGTGGCTGCCACCACACACATTTTTCTGATCTATTCACAAGTGCATTTCTCTCAATTCCGTTCGCATTTTTGACGCCCCCCCCCGTCCGTCCCCATTCAGGTTATCGAACAATGCCGATCCAACCGAGTCTATCTGGCCACATTTCGTCGTTACGACTCCGTTCAGTCGAATTTGACACGTCGACAAATCACTCTGATTCACGATCGAGCACAGTCGATATTGGACTTGTTGGACGATCCGCGTTTACTGTCAGAGGAGCAGAATCGATTGCATCAAGCTATTGGTGGTCAACTGGACGGTAAGTTTTTCAAAAACACGCCTCAGATATTGCTTTATCCGGATGTTTCAAAATCACATATTTTGCTCCTCAGCGGACTGATAGAGATGGTGTTAGGTGATTGCTCGCAGTCGCTCCTTGTTCTCCATCCCAATGCTCTTGGTTTAAAGGTCAAAATTGTGTTTGTGTCATGAATACAGATATTATATCCCTATTTTCTAGTTAGGAGATGACCTATCCTTAGAGATGATGAATGTTTGAATTAGCCCATTCGGTTTTTCATAGGCACCAGGCACTGTTGACCTATCATAATCATCAGTCCTCTTCTGCCAGTGATGTACATTACCCCAGGGTTATATTCACTGATTTGTTCGATACATCCACTCGCGTTACTTCTCTCATCGCCTCCCTGTTCTGTTTGCACATGAGGTAAACGGATTGTCTAACTCACACTGATGTTCATTTCATTGACACTAGGACAGTTCTTTCTTCCCCCGGTCTGTTTGTTTGTCAGTGACAATTGGACTCCTTGATACGTTTTCATCGTCCCCACCCCGGATGGTGTTCATCGTGAAATTTTGTTCGGTAACCCGTATTTTCACGTTGCACCTACAATGCGGTACTTTGATGATGTGTACGTTATTTTATGCGGAGATTTCAAGTTTGTGTCGTTCGGTTTTGCATGAGATATAGGAGCATAGTAAGCACGAATTGCGGCTGTTATATGTGTGTGCGGTTGGGTGTTCCCTGGGTGTTTTCCTGTGGGTAAATCCCCCTTTATCTGATCGATAAATCATGGTCCGAAAATTACAGATTATGTTATGTTATGTTATGTTTCAATTAAGCAAACGAACAATCACACAGCGATATAGGTTATACGTTTATTTGTTTGTACACAGGTGGGTGGGTGGAAAACCAAGCCAAAGCGTCAACACACAAGCAGAACGCTAATGTGAATGGCCACGTGTCTGTCTTTTTATCCTAGTTGTGTACAGCCGAATGATTGCATGCTCGGTATTCTTGTATACAATGCACCTGCGCCTAACTCAATTCTAACCGATCCACGGTTTCTCTCTTGTCTGTGTTCGGAGGGCGGTCGCCACGTGCAATGTTTTGGGCCAAGTTCGCATTCCTCATTCACAGTTCTGTGCGCGCGTGCAAATTTGCACAGAGCATACAAAAGGTATCTATCTCATTGATGAGCATGAATGCACCTCGTGTAGTGCTGTCTCTCAGTACCATCGAAGAGTGCAAAACCGTTAGATCCATAGCAGAGCTAGTGCACATGAACACTGTTGATGACCCACTTACATCGAAATAGATTGTTCGCTTTGCCGACCTCATTCTATACCTTAGACTAAATGGTCTTGGTCAACCAAGCGATACACGGAACTTCCCTTCCCTCAGTGTTCATTAGTGTCAACTCAAGTTGTTCTCGGATTTTCGATGGATTAATCAGCTTTTTTATCCCGGTGGTCTTATAGTCAACCTAGCAAGAGATCGCTGCG